CCTAGGAAACTCATACACTGAGGATTAAGGAAGGCTTCCTGGAGGAAGGGGTGGCGAGGCTAAGAGGACAGTGGGAAAGGCCCTTTCAGAACAAGGAAAGGGGCCTAGCGGGAAGAGAGACCATGGTACCTGCCAGTGTCTTGAAGGGCGTGAAAGATGCCTGGAGCACAACGTGCAAGTGAGGAGGGCAAGAGAAGGCAAGTGTCATGGACATTTGTCATATTTGGCTGTCCCACATCCGAACACCCTTCCCATTTTAGGAGAATCCCAAACTCGGTGGGAGGAAGCTTAAGGACAGCAATACGCTGTCTTTATGCTCCCTGGAAGCCAGAACGTATATTGACCTAAACCCATTCGGCTCATGCTCCCTGACTCTGACTCTGGATGGAGAAACATGAAGGGCAGGATGGTTAGAAATTGTACACGCTGTCTGTGATAGAACCTAATGTCCAGTGGCAGGGAGGAAAGTGCCAGAAACAACTGAACACAGCCACATGGCATCAAGAATTCAATGACAAGATGACAGGTATCAAGTCGAGGGCAGGACAAGGTGGCCAGACAGCAGAGCCCAGGGGCAGCAGGCTAAGCAAGGGGACCAGCTTTCCCTGGTTTGCCCAGGATTTTCCTCGTTTAGTAATTGAAAATCCCTCATCCTGGGAACTTCCTCAGTCCTGAGCACACTGCGAGGGTGGCGCTCCATAATTTAGGCAGATTGTTCCTGAGATATAATTTTGACTGACTCCCTGGGCTTATTTTGTTTTTCCAAGCCTTATTCCTCAGCCTCTCTGACAATTCTGTGAGTTACCTGACATGTTTCCAACAAAAATCCTTTTCTGCTTAAGGTAGCATAAATTGGTTTTTCTTGGCCGCAGCAAAGAATCCTGAGTACTGGGACTATGAAGGGCCTTATAAACAACGTTACGAGTTTAGACTTCGTCCAGAGGTCAGGGCAGAGTGGGGAGTGAGGGCACCAAAATGTTCTAAGCAGGGAAGACTGTGATCAGATGATCGCTTTGGCTACAGTGTGACAATAAATTGAATGAGAGCAAGATGGAAGAGTAAAGAGGAAGTGGTGAGAAAGGTTAGGAAGCTATGGTAACCCGACAGACGAGAGGAGGCGGTTGCCCAGCCCCTCTTGGAGGCAGGGAGACTGAGAGAAGTCGAATGGCTGGAGACAAATGTGGCAGGCTAGACAGCATTACTGATGGATGTCACACAACAGAGACCTTTAAGAACACTGACCTTGGGATCTTGAGAGCATCATCCTACGACGCAAGCCAGACCCATCCTCCACCATCTTGCACTGAACGTCCACAATCCTGGTGCTCATTTGCTCCTGTGCCAGCCACTGTCAGTGACCTGCAGCTGCCATCAACAGCTGGCCGTGAAGAAAGGCAACATGGCGTCTCTCTTTCCGGCTCCAGCAGAATTCTGTTAGGACTGTGTGCCCAAGCCCTCCCAGAGAGTGTCTGGGCCACATCCCTCCCCTCTCACATTCCTGTTTTCCGTGGGCCAGGCATTCCAGTCCGCAGTCATACATACCCTGGCCCAAACTTCCCCCAAGTCCTCTGGAATTTTTCTCCTGGGATTGATAGTTTCCCCACATCTTACAACTCTTTTCCCAGTATTCTCCCATCTCTCTGCTTTAATGGGGGAAACTGGCCATCCTCTGAAGACCACACTTCTCGTGAAGGCTGTGAGATTACTCTCTCACAGCTCAGGGATCTCAGAGTCAGAAAGTAGGGCCAGGAGTTAGTTTCTCTTGGACTTCCCCACACTGCTTCCTGACCATCAGTCCTTACCCTCTAGCAAGCCTCCCGTGGCTGTGAGTCTCAGGCCATCTGGTGTACTTTTCTTCAAACCTCTTCCAACTTTCTCCTTGCTCTGCCTCTTTTTTTCCCCCCACCAGGCTCAGCATACCTTATTACAGTGACTTCAACTGCGGACTCCTAATCTCAAATGGCTTCCTCCAGATTGTGCCTGTCATCAAACCCTGGCCTTGTTACCATCTTAGAACCGCACTACTTTCAGCATCGCCCACTCAGAAAGCCTACGCTCCCACCTGTTGAAGTAATCCTGTTGCAATTGTTCTTCCGAGCCCATCAGCACTTCTGACCTGACCCCTCGACTTTCTTCTTATTCATCAGCTCCCTTCAGTTCGGTTCCCTTATCATCCATATTAAATTTCACATCTACTCTTTTTACTCTGCCCTTTCTTTGCAACTGCCTAACAGATTCCAACCCTGGATGAATCTGCCATTGCATTTTTTATGTCTGTGCTTATTGAAGATCCAATGGAGAAAATGGGACCCAGAGAGTACCACACAACAGGGCAGATGAGCATCACTACAAATTCATGACCACCATTCGGTGAAAGGGCTCTTGCTACATCAACAGTGACCTTCATACTGCCAAACACAACTTGCTTGATCTCTTATCAACATGAACATCACCGTCCGTCCCTTCTTTTTGACTCAGTTTCTTCCTTTAGCTTCTCTTACTTTCATTTTCCTGGTTTTGCTTCAGTGTGTCGGGCTATTAAAGACAATCATTTCGGGCTCTTTTTCTATAAAACCTTAAAATTGTAAGTTTCTAAGGCTAAGTTCCAGGCTCTCTTTTCTGGTCTCTCCACATCCTCCTCCTCAGTAACAACCTCACCCACTCCCAGGCTTCAAATCCATCAATTCTGGGAGGCTGTGAATCCCAAGCATGTACCTCCAGATGGAATCTCTTTTCTGAGCTTTATATCTCTATATACAGCTGCCCACTCAAACACCTCTATTTGCACATTTTACAGATATCTGAAATTCAACATGTTCATGTTCAAAATTTATTTCCTTTCTCAAATCTGCTTCTCCCCTAGTGTTCTCCACATTAATAAGTGGTACTAGCTTTCACCCCATTGTTTATGCCAAACATAAGATTCATGTTTGTTGTTCTCATTCACCTGTGCCTCTATATGTAATTAATTACCAGCCCTGGCAATTTCTTCAATAAACAATTATTGAGAGCCAACTATTTTCAGGCACTTCCCCAGGCACTGGGGGATCATCTACAACAAAAAAGACAAAATGTCTGTTCTTCGGAGCTTTTACTTGAGAAATACAAGCGATGTGACCCTAACATTTTGTCTGGCAATATAGGTGTATGTGCAATAAGTAGTAGCTGCATTACAATATTTAAAATGAATGAGATGATTGACCACTCTCTGGGTAAGTAACTGTACCACGCTTCAAGAGCAGGCAAATATAAAGGAAATTTAATTTGTTTCTGATAATTTTTTTGAGAAAGCTAGAAATGTATAGAAGAGATAATAAAAATTGTCTTATACATTGAAGTACAATAACTTGAGTGAAGGGTTATACAGCGTTCACTAATTAATTCAACAAATACATAGTAAACATATGCTTTGAGCTAGACATTGCAGGTACGATGCTAGATACGATGAAAAATCGTGTAAGAGTTTACCCTCTTTCCAGGCTAACAATCTAACATAGTTTCCTACGTGCTGGCAGAAAGTACTTGAATCAGAGACAGAAGACTTTTACTATTCACAGCATGGCCAGCAGCGCGAGCTTCATATTCCCTTCAGTTCTTTGCGCCCAAGTCCCATGATGGTAGCCCGGGGCGGGGGGGGGGGTGGTGCCGCAAATGCAGCGGGTTTGTATCGCAGCTGAGGGACCCTGAATCCAGGAAACCTCTGCCTTTCATCATGGACTGCAGGCCAACGTGCCCAGGCTTTGCCTCCGAGGGCAACATTAAATCTTTAATACCCTGGACAGCCACAAACCTGACTTTGGCATGGGAGGGTGATGGTCATCTCAATCTTCCAAAGCTGTTTCCTATACAAATACCCTTGAAGAAATAATAGTTCTGTTGGTCAGCGTGCCCCACAGAAAGAGAACCAAAAGAATGCATATATAAAGAGAGACTCTAAGGAACTGACTTCTGTAATTGAGGGACTGACAAGCCCCACATCTGTAGGGCAGACCAAAAGGCTGGAGACCTAAGGAAGAGGTGATGTGGCAGCCGGGGTCTGGAGACAGTCTGGGGGGAGGGCTCCCTCCTCTTCCAGGGACCTCAGTCTTTTCTCTGGAGTCTGTCAACGGATTGGATGAGGCCCACCTGCATTATGGAGGGTAATCTGCTGTACTCCGAGTCTACCACATCTTAAAAAATCCTCACAGCAACACCTGTCCTGGTGTTTGATAAAACACAAAACAAAACAAAACCCTAGATACTATGGACTAGTCCAGTTGAGTCATTAAGTTAACTGCAGCAGTAGTCCAGGAATTCATTACGATACTGTCTCCCAACAGATACTTAATGTTCGAAACTCATTAATTATGGTGTCTACAATTTCCCCTGCATGATCCCCAACATTTAAAACAAACTAATGATATTAAGCAATTATGAATTTGTCATTCATACTATGCCTTGTTTACATTTTTACTAGGAAACCTGGTTCTAGGTGGTTGGGACACAGTTTCAGCGCTTGCCGTTCAAGGCACTCGTCAGACGAGAGTAATTACGAGCTCGGACAGGTGAGCACAGGACGCTGGGGGAACACGTCACGCAGACAGTGGGGAGGAGGAAAAAAGGAGCTGAGGCCTCCAAGACAGGGGTCTCAGCAGAGTGACCGCAGGGAGGCCGTGATGACACGGAACCCTGGCTTCAAGCTCACAAGAGGGGCGTGGTGGCTCGAGCAGACATGTTATAATAACCTCATATCATCCCTGGGTCAACCTGGCTGACTTGATCCGGATTTCACCCTGGCGGATTTCTTTCCTTCCAGGTCTCCACGTAGCGGCGGGGCGACGGGAGCCCCTCCCCCATCCCTTCTCCCACGCCGCCTGCCCCGCCTCCACCCGCGTCCGGCTCGGGGCTGGCCGCGCCCCACAGGGCAGACCACGCCCCCAACAGCGCCAGGCCACGCCCCTCCCCTCCGGTTCCGCCCCCTCCCCTCCCCCGCGCTGGCGCGGAGGACTGTGGGAGCCGCTTCCTTGGATTCCGCGCGTGGCAACGGCTTGGCGCGGCGCTCGGGCCTGCGCGGGCCCTCAGTAGACTACTTTCTCGAGAAAGCCGCGTCGTCCCCGCTCGACCCGCGGCCGCCCCGCTCCCCTCACCGCGAGGTAGGAGAAGGGCCTCGGGACAAAGAGCGCCTGGGGCCGGCGCGGACGGCGCGGCGCAGGGCCCGCGGCGGGCGGCGCTCCCGAGGCCGGCCCCTCAGGGCGCGCCCCCCGCGCGGGTCCTCGCCGCGCCCGCGGGGCCGGGGCGTCGTTTGCGGAGGGGCCCCGCCCGCCCGCCGGCACCTCCGCCCCGCCCGGCCGGGGCTTCGCAGGCCCCGCGTCTGGCCCCGCGAGGGCTGCGCGTCGGCTCCCCCCGGCTGCTGGCCGCCTGGGCGGGGCCGCTGCGCGCGCCGTGCGGAACGGCTGCCCCGCCTCGCGGTCGCGCTGCCGCCGCGACGCTGGAACCGGCCGGGACCCGGCCACCGGCTGCGGAGGTCCTCGCAGGCTCGCCGTGCGTGCGCGCGCCCGTGCGAGGCCTTTGAGAAGTTCTGACACGGGGTTTAATTCGTGAAATCAGAGAACGCGCAGCAGAAGGCGTGAGCCAGTTCTCAGCCCCGCAACGATGACCCTGAATTCCAAAGACTTGAAGTGCCGTGTTTCCAAGATTCTTTCTGCGGCTGAAATTCCACTTTTCCTTTTACCGGGTGCATTTTCTGGTGTGAGTTTGGAGGAACTACAGCAGGCGTGTTGGATGCAGACTGTCCACCGTAGTCAGGGAAGAGTGTCATACAAACAAAAAACCAAAAAACTTCAACATTAAAAAAAAAAAGTGCTGCTGGCATTTTATCTGTATGCCCAGATTGTTTCAACGCGAATGGCTCGTTAGGTGTGTAAAGCGCTTTCGAAAGGTTGGGGAATCCAGGTCATGATCTCACGGTTCGTGGGTTCGAGCCCCGCGTCGGGCTCTGTGCTGACAGCTCAGAGCCTGGAGCCTGCTTAGGATTCTGTGTCTCCCTGTGTCTCTGACCCTCCCCTGCTCACGATGTCTCTCTCTCTCTCTCTCTCTCTCTCTCTCTCTCTCTCAGAAATAAATAAGACGTTAAAAAAAAAAGAAAGAAAAGAAAGCTTGGGGAATCCGGAAAACCGCAGTTGTATTTATTTGTTCCGCCCACCACAGCCCCCACCTGTGGGTCCTCCGCTTCATCCTTCCTGGCCTCACTTTCTACATCTTTAGAATTAATCTGCCCACTGCAGGTCTGTTCAGCAAAAGCCTCAGCTGTAAACTAATCCCAGCGTGGTTGCAACCCTGCAGGAGGGAGATGGCTAATTCTAAACGTTGCTTGTTTTCGGGACACGCGCGTAAGAGCCGACCTACGTAGGGCTCCTAATGAGTCCCTTTAGCACAGTGGTCCTCCAAGAGTGTCGTCAGCAAGGCGTGGGAACTTTCTGGAAACTCACTCTGTCAGGGGTAAAGGCGGTGGTGATGACTTCCACCGGCGACTTAAGGAGCCCAAACTCTGCTGGCGGGTGAGAAACTATTTCAACAAGCCCTTAGGCTTGTCATGCACGTTAAAGTTGGAGAGCCACTGGTTTAGCATTGTGAGCTAAAAGTTTTTAAGTTACAATATTTTCTGTATGTTATACCAATGACTTTAAAATTTTTTAAGTATGTTTGCTTTTTTCCTTTAAAGTTTATTTGAGTCCCCACTGTCACTGTCAGAGCTGAACCTCGACATAACGATTTGAGCCGAAATCAAGAATTGGACATTTAACGACTGAGCCACCCCGGTGCCCCTATTTTTAAAACTTCTATTTATTGAAGTATAGTTGACATACATATTAAAAATTCGTTTTTAATGTGTATTTATTTTTGAGAGAGAGACAGAGTGCGAGCAGGGGAAGGGGAGAGAGAGAGAGGGAGGCACAGAATCTGAAGCAGCTCAAGGCTCCGGGCTGTCAGCGGAGAGCTCCATGCGGGGCTGAACCCACAAACCCGGAGATCATGACCTGAGCCGAAGTCGGACGCTTAACCGACTGAGCCCCCCAGGCGCCCCATGACATGTATATTATATTAAGTTCAAGTGTGCAACATAGTGATTTGAAATTTATATGCATTGGCAGAATGATCACCACAATAAATCTATTTACCATCCCATCACCAGAGTTACTACAATATTATGACTATGGTCTGTATGCTGTAACTTATATCCCTATGACTTATTTATTTTAGAACTGGGAATTTCTCTATCAATGGCTTTTAATACCTTCGACGGTATTTGGAGTATACATTTTTTAAAAATATTTATTCATTTTTTGAGAGGGAGAGAGAGAATGTGAGTGGGAGACAGGCAGAGAGAGAGAGAGGAGACACAGAATCTAAAGCAAGCTCCAGGCTCTGAGCTGTAAGTACAGAGCCCGACGCGGGGCTCGAACCCACCAGCAATGAGATCATGACCTGAGCTGAAGTCGACGCTTAACCGACTGAGCCACCCAGGCGCCCCTGGAATATACATTTCTATCTGATATTTGCTGTCCCATAGTAGTGAATTTTCATCTTTAAAAAGTAATGAAAAATTAACTCAAAAGACCTACATGTAAGAGCTAAACCATAAAATTGTTAAAACAAGTATAAATCTTAACCTGGGATTAGGCAGTAGGTTTTTTTCAGATGAGACACTAAAAGCACAAGCAAGCAAAGAGAAAGTGGATAAATTATACATCATCAAAATTCAAAGGATACTTCAAAGGGTACTATCAAGAAAATGAAAGATAAAAATATTTGCAAATCATAAATCTGATAAGGTCTAGTATCTAGAATATATAAAGATTTTTATAACGTAGGTAAGACAACCCAATTGTTAAATGGGCAAACCATCTGAGAAGACATTTCTCCAAAGAGATACAAAATGGTCAATAAACATGACAACATCATTAGTCATCAAGGAAATGAAAGTTAAAACTACAAAGATACCATTTCATACCCATTAGAATGGCTGTAATCAAAATGAGGGACAATAAACAATTGTTGGCTAGGACATGGAGAAATTGAGACTTTCGTACATTGCAGGTGGAATATAAAATGTGCAGCCACTTTGGGAAAGTCTAGCAGCTCCTCCCAAGAGTTAAACGTAGAGTTGCTGTATGACTCAATGCCATTGCTAGGCATACACTCAATATCAATAGAATTGAAAATTTATGTCCACACTAAACGTACACAAAGGTTCATAGCAGTGTTATTTATAATAGCCATAAAGTGAAACAATCCAAATGTCCATTAACTAATATATCGATAAAATATTGTACATTCATACAATGGAATATTATTCAGCCATAAAAAAGGAATGAAGTACTGATGCATGCTACAACATGGATAACCTTGAAAACATGCTAAGTGAAAGAAGCCAGACATAAAAGGTACATATTGGATGATTCCATTTGATTGATGAAAAAAATGTGATTGATGATTCCATATGAAATGTCCAGAATTGGCAAATCCATAGAGACAAAGTAGATTAGTGCAATAGGCTAAGTGGCAGGAGGGAGGAATGAAGAGTGAATGTTAAAAGGGTCCCAAATTTCTTTTTTTTTTTTTTAATGTTTTATTTATTTCTAGGAGAGAGAGAGAGACAGCGTGAGCAGGGGAGGGTCAGAGAGAGAGGGAGTCACAGACTGAAACAGTCAGCACAGAGCCCGACGCGGGGCTCGAACCCACGAACCGTGAGATCATGACCTAAGCGAAAGTCAGACGCTTAACCGACTAAGCCACCCAGGCACCCCAAAGGCTCCCAAATTTCTTAAGTGGGTGTTGAAAATGTTCTGGAAGTAGATAGGAGTGGTAGTTGCACAACTTCGTGACTATACTAAAAATTACTGATTTGTACACCTTAAAAAGGTAAGTTTTATAGTATATGAATTATAAAAAATAATTTTACGTTTCACATAAAAATGTTTTTTAAATTTGAGAGACAGTGCGCATGTGCGTGAACAGGGGAGGGGCAGAGAGAGAGGGAGAGAGAATCCCAAGCAGGCTCCATGTTGTAATGGAGCCCTACACGGGTCGGGAACTCACAAGCCATGAGATTGTGATCTGAGCCAAAACCAGGAGTTGGACACTTAAGTAACTGAGGCACCCAGGCATCCCCACATAAAAATAATTTTTAAAAGGTTACAAGTAGCTATATATGTTTGGCATTGTACTGGGCAATAAGATTAAGCTGACATTTTTGAAGGAATTTACCAGCATACTTAAAATAGTAGCAACTTTTTAAAAAATATATATTTAGTTTTTATTTTTTAATATATTTTTTTAATTTAAGAGAGATAGCATGCATGCCTGACAGTGGGGGAAAGGAACAGAGGGAGAGGGAGAGAGAGAGTCTTTAGCAGGCTCTATGCTAACGTGGAGACTGATCGGGGGCTTGATCCCACAACCCTGGGATCTGACCTGAGCTGAAATCCAGAGTCGGACGTTCAACCAACTGAGCCACCCAAGTGCCCCTAAAAAAGATATGTATTTTAAGGTAAAGTAGTTTAGTATTACATTTCTTGGGTAGCTAGCCAGGCCCCTCCCCTAAATTGCCTAAGTTATTACTCAATTTGAAAGGTTCTGAGAATTCGTCCCAAATTCTCTGGTAATTACTGCATTTACAGTACATGTATACAGTAGTTAAATTTCTCACTTCTGTTTTACTTTGTCATCTGTTTTATTCTAAGTCTTGCCTTTTTTTCTCGATATTTTATTATGAAAATTTTCAAACGTACAGTGAAGCTTAAAGAATTTTACAGTGAACATCATACCTGTTATATAGATTCTACCATTAACATTTTCTTGTACTTCATCACATATCTTTCATTTATCTGTGTTATTTATTTAGAGAGAGTGCACGCCTGTGTGTGCATGAGCACAGGTGGGGCAGAGGAAGAGGGAGAGAGAATCTTAACATTCTCTATCTGTGTTATTTTATGCACATCAAACTGAATTACAGATATTAAGCTTTCCCTTAAGTACTTAGGTATGCATATTAATTATACTTTGATATTTACTTACAGTTTTTTCTTTCACAAAAAAATTTACAATGAAAGGAAAAATCTTAAGTATTCATTTGTGGAGCTTTTACAAGTGCGAATACCAGTGTGATCCAAACCCCTGTCAAGATACAGAATATTTATCACCCTAGAAAATTAAAAATTTTTTTAATGTTTATTTTTGGGAGAGAGAGACAGACAGAGAATGCTGGGGAGGGGCAGAGAGAGAAGGAGACATAGAACCTGAAACTAACTGGGGCGCCTGGGTGGCTTAGTCGGTTAAGCGTCCGACTTTCGCTTAGGTCATGATCTTGCGGTTCGTGGGTTCGGGCCCCATGTCAGGCTCTGTGCTGACTGCCAGCTCAGAGCCTGGAGCCTGTTTCAGAGTCTGTGTCTCCCTCTCTCTCTGACCCTCCCCTGCTCACGCTCTCTCTCTCTCTCTCTCTCTCTCTCCTAGAAATAAATAAAAATATTAAAAAAAAAAAAAGAATCTGAAACTGACTCCAAGTTCTGAGCCGTCAGCACAGAGCCCAACATAGAGCTCAAACCCACAAACCGCGAGATCATGACCTGAGACGAAGTCGGACACTTAACTGACTGAGCCACTCAGGTGCCCTACCCTAGAAAATTCTATTATCATGCCCTTTTTCATTCAATCTCCAGTCCCACGCCAAAACAGCAAACACCTTTCTGATGGTTTTCTTCAATAGTTTAGCCTATTCTAGAATTTTAAATCAATGAAACAATATATAAGGTGCTGTTTTGTGAGGGTTCTTTCACTTAACATAATTGATATTCTTCCATTTCATATGTCATCAGTACTTTTTTTTTGCTGAATAATACTTTGTTGCATAAATATGCCTCATTGCTTATCCATTCTGTTAATGGGCATCTGGTGCGTTTCTAGTTTTTGACTATTATGAATAAACTCCTGTGAACATTCTTACGTAAATATTTTTTTTTGATCCATGTATTATTCACTTCTCTCAGGTAAATACCTTAGAGTGGAATTGCTGGGTTGTAAGAAATATATGTTAATTTTATGAAACTGCCAGACTTTTTTCCAAAATTGCACTATATTACACCCCCAACAACAATGTATCTTTAGATTACTCCGTATCATTGCTGACCTGCATTGTTGGCTTGTAAATTCAGCCATTCTAGTAGGTGTGTAGTGGTTCCTGCCTGGCTTTGTAACTGACTATTACAGACCGTCTTCTGCATTTGATACTAAGCTCTTTGAAAATCAGGGCAGCTAACTGTACCTGTACTGAGTGCCTTTTAATGCAGTAGGTGTGGAATAAATGTAAAATGAGAGCAATGAACGCATGTTTTGACACCTAGTTTTGAGAATTTGATGTGAAAAAAATTAAGTCATAAAAATATGTAGCAATAAATTTGACCGGAAAGGTTGTTAAGTAGCTATACTTTATTTCATTTAAGGATTATTTTATATGCCAAGAACATACTTACACTGCTAATTTTTCATAGGTGCAAATGATGCAAAATGTGCACCTGGCCTCAGAGACAGATGAAGATGATCTTTATTCTGGTTATAATGACTACAATCCAATCTATGATACTGAGGTAAAAAAAAGAAAAAATCTAGCTTTTATGTTGGTCTTTGCTAACCAGCTGGTTCATGAAAACTTTGGATTTGAGGGTTCTGCTTTATTATCTTTAAATTAAGTAAACTGAATAAAAGCCTGGAAAAGTGATACTGCTGAAGTCTGTACTAACTTTCACTAATAATACTAATTATAGCAAAAGGGAAAATCATGAGAAAGTTCTATTTTACAACACTAGCTATCTGAATGTTTAACTAAAAAGACTTAAGTCACTTGAAGTACCTAAAATCAGTTTTTTAAATGCTCTAAATTTGAAATGTCATGTAGTGATTTTTTCTTTTAATTAAAACATACAAGCATTTTTAGAAAACTTAGGACATAGAATTAAGTATAAAGAAAAATTAAAATCACAGAAACTATTACTACCCAGAGGTAAACATTAACTAGCTTATAATGCTTATCTCACTAAACATTTTTCTATGCAAATATATGTGTATCTCTATATTTTTGGATAAAATGGTATCACATTGTGTGTACTGTTTTGTAACCTGATTTTTGTCTTTTATAAATTTCCCTTGATGTCAGCAAATCTATATCTATTTAATATTTAGTGGGATAGTAAACCAAAAGATGAAATTGTTATTAAGACAAATACTTAAATTTAAAAAACTCGAATATTTTATTTTTAAGATTTTTGATCCTCCTTGCGCTCCCTACCTCTCTCAAAATAGAGGGAGAGAAAGAGAATCCCAAGCAGGCTCTGCACTGTCAGTGCGGAGCCCAGAGCAGGACTCGAACTCAGGAACTATCAGATCATGCCTGAGCTGGAATCAAGAGTTGGCCACTTAACTGACTGAGCCACCCAGGTGCTCCAGTACTTGACTATTTTAAATCTGTTTATATCACTGTGAGAGTTTGACTTTCCAAACTGTAAAACAAAACAAAACCTTTTTATAAAGTTACCTTGAATTAGTGTGTAAAAAGAGTGAGGATGAAAGATATGATTGTTAATTTATTTGCTAGTATATACTAATCAAATATTAGCATTTATAGGACTATATAAATTTAGGAAATCTTACTCTAGAGTTTTTCATATAACTTTTAGTCATTTTTCAGTTGTTTTTTCCTCCGGAGAAAAATAGTGGTCTGTGAACGTGACAGCTAGAGGGAAAACAAGGAAAGAACTAGAAACCATTCACTTCCTCTACGTGAAATAAAATCTAGGTGATGTGATCATTTAACAGAAAATTTGAAAGGTCAGAAGATTGGAGAAAAATGATATAAATCCTGTCAGAGGTCATCTATATGAAATCTATTCTGTCACCTGGCATTTTGCCGTTTCCCCCGTCCTTTATACACAGGTGTTTCCCTTCGTGTGTGTACTGTGTACATACACAGGCATGATTATATAGACTCCTTTTTAAAAATTTGTATTAAAACATAGATGTTTTCCTAGGATTGTATAGATTTTGAACTCTCCCTCTTTTTCCCATTTATAAAAGTTATGTGTATATAAAATGTAAATGCTCGGTGTTGAAAACTAAATTACCCATAATCCCATCACTCCCAAATAACTATAACGTTTTGTTGCTTTTTCTTTCTCTTATGCATATATTTAGTTTTAGCATGTTTGGAATTGAACTAGGATTTACCTTTCTGTTTGCTTTTTTATATCCAACTACATCATAAGTAATGTCTCATGATACTAGGAATTTAAATACAGTTGACCCTCGAACCGACCCACCTCCCTTCCCCCATGTAGTCAAAAATCTACAAATAATTTTTGACTCCTCCTAGACTTAATTGCTAATAGCCCACTGTTGACCTGAAGCCTTACCAATAACAAAGTCAATTAACACATATTTTGTATGTTACAATGATATCCTTTTTCTTAATTTTTTCAGCTTTTTTAGGCCATATGTTTTGTGGGTTTTTTCAAATTGTCACCAGTCTCCAAAGAATTTCCCAATATATTTATTGGAAAAAATTATTGTATAAGTAGACCCATGGCAGTTCAAACTTGTGTTGTTCAAGGGTTAACTGTGTAATTTTAACTGCTACATTTTGTTGAATACGTATAGTTGATTAGAACTATTTTCAGATCATAGGATATTTTCAGTTTTCTGTTGTAAATAACGGCTATGCAATGAATAATTTTATACATAAACAATTTTCTCTATTTTGAGCAACATGTCCTTGGCTAAAGTCCCAGAAGTAGAATTAATAGATCATGAGTATGATCACTTTTTTTTTAAATTAATTAATTTATTTTTGAGAGAGAGAGGCAGCATGAGAAGGGGAGAGTCAGAGAGAGAGAGGGAGACAGATTCTAAAGCAGGCTCTGAGCTGTCAGCACAGAGCCCCACATGGGGCTCAAACCCATGAACGGTGAGATCATGAGCTGAGCTGAAGTCGGACGCTTAACCGACTGAGCCACCCAGGTGCCCCAAGTATGATCACTTTTAAAGCACCAGAGAAACTGATTATGCTGAAGGTTACCTTTGGCTCTATACTTCATATGAGAGTTGCCTAGTTTCCATTAATTTTATGTACTTGACATGGAAGGTTATAAAGATTATTTAAGGTAAACATTAAAGAAGGCTTAGACATAATAAAATCATGTTTAAAGTGCATTGAATTAACATCTGGATTATATAAAAGTTTTGCTTTAATTGTTTGCAAAGTTTTTAGAAGTTAATAGTGACTGTTTTTTAATTTATTGTATTTTTTTAATAATCAAGTATATTTTTGCGGGATGTAGATTGCAGTAAGGCAGAGGCAAGCCTGACAGTTGCCCATAAGATGTGTATGAAGGCTTAGAGCCAGATTCTGCGTTGCTGAAGGGGTAGGAGCTGGTCCCGAGGTGGGTGGTCGCTAAGACTGGGTGCTTTTGAGACAGTCCGAAAACGGCATCTGTCCCAGAGACCCAGGGACATTTGAATCTTGCTCTTGACTAGTATTACTTCCCTCGCGTTTTCCTGCTGAGGAATAGGAGTGCAGGCAGGAGTCAGCAAGGCATGATGACCTTTTCTTTCAGCTAAGGCTTTGGTTCCAAAAGCACAGCAGGCTGCACCCCGTGGAGCTGGAATCGCCGTGGGGAGGCTTTGCTTCGCTCTGGTCTGAATTCCACACTTTACTCCCCAGTGGAATGAAGTGTCTTAAGGTGTTTTCAGATGGGGCTGGTAGCCGTGGTCCCAGCATATGGAAGAATAGAAGGGAGGGAGAGAGGCCAGCGAGAAAAGGAGAATGTGGTTCTCGGTTCTTACTGCTCCAGCTACTGGGAAGAAAGGACCAGAAGAAAGGCCACGTCCTTGTGTACTTGATCTTTCAGCCAGCCATGATGATACCACACATTTAAACAGTGGCCAGTAACATACCCTTAAAGCTGACTGACGTTACCAAGTACTCCTCTTCCTAGAAAAGGAAGGAGCCTTGATATTTTGGGTAGTGTGATGGGGCAGCTTTGGGGGCAGGAGTCCTTGAGCCACTACCTGGATGTCAGCCGGTGGGGTAAGATGAATTATAGAGGATAATGAATACCAAACAGAAGAGTTTAAATTTATTTATTTTTTGTTTCTCACTTCATGTTGAATGTTATATTTGCCTTCTCACTTTAGGAACTAGAGAATGACACAGCTTTTCAGCAAGCCGTGAGAACTAGTCATGGCAGAAGACCTCCAGTAAGTGAATGTTTTTTGTTGTGGTAAAAAAATACATGACATAAAATTAGCCATCTTAACCATTTTTACTTATTGTATCTTATTTTTAAATTCCAGTTAGTTAACAGTGTTATATTAGTTTCAGGCACGCAGTGTAGTGAGTCGGCAATTCCACGCATCCCCTCGTGCTGATTGCAGCAAGTGTACTCCTTAGTCCTCATCACCTGTTAACTCCCTCCCCGCCCCCGTAAGCATCCGTTTGTTTTCTATAGCTGAGGCTGTTTCTTGAGTCTTTTCTTTTTTCCCCTTTGCTCATTTGTTTTGTTTCTTAAATTCCACATGTGAGTGAAATCATATGGTATTTGTCTTTCTCTGACTGACTTATTGTGGATAGCATTATATTCCCTAGTTCATCCATGTCTTTGCAAATAGATCTCATTTCATTCCTTGGCAAATAGAAAGATTTCATTCCAATATTCCATTTCACACACACACACACACACACACACACACTACATCTTTAATCCATTCATCAGGCGATGGATACTTGGGCTGCTTCTGTAATTTGGCTATTGTAAATGATGCTGCCATAAACATAGGAGTGCATATATCCCTTTGAATTAGTGTTTCTGTATCCTTTGGGTAAATACTCGGTAGTGCCATTGCTGGATCACAGAGTAGTTCTGTTTTTAACTTTCTGAGGCAGTTCCGTGCTGTTTTCCACAGTGGTTATACCAGTTTCCCTTCCCACCAACAATGCAAGAAGGTTCCTTTTCCTCCACATCCTCACCAACACCTGTTGCTTCTTGGGTTGTTGAGTTTAGCCATTCTGACAGGTGTGAGGTGATAGCTCCTTGTAGTTATGATTTGCATTTTCCTGACGGTAGGTGATGATGAGTATCGTTCCATGTGTCTGTTGGTCATCTGGATGTCTTCTTTGTAAAAATGTCTCTTCGTATCTTCTGCTATTTTTTAACAGGATTGTTTGTTGTATGGGTGGTGAGTTTTATAAGTTTTTTTTATATATTGTGGATACTAACCCTTTATTTGTTAAAACATTTGCAAATATCTTGCAAATTCCATAGGCTGTCTCTAATTCTTTTAGATTGTTTCCTTTGCTGTGCAGAAGCTTGTTTTCTTTTTTTTTTTTATGTTTATTTATTTTTGAGAGAGAGAGCGGGGGAGAGGCAGAGAGAGAGAAGAGAGAGAGGATCCCAAGCAGACTCTGCACTGAGAGCAAAGAGCCCAGTGTGGGGCTTGAACTCACAAACTGTGAGATCATCCCCTGAGCTGAAGTCAGACACTCAACCAACTGAGCCACCCAAGCACCCTGCTGTGCAGAAACTTTTTATTTTGATGAAGTCCCAACAGTTTATTTTTCCTTTAATTTCCCTTGCCTCAGGAGACCTATCTAGAAAAAAGTTGCTATGGCCGATGCCAGAGAAATTACTGCCTATGTTTTCTTAAAGGATTTTTAGGGTTTCAGGTCTCACATTTAGGTCCTTAATCCATTTTGAGTTTATTCTTGTGTATTGTAAAAGAGTGTTCCAGTTTCATTCTTTTGCATGTGGCTGTCCAGTTTTCCCAACACCATTTGTCGAAGAGACTGTCTTTCTCCCATTGGATATTCTTTCCTTCTTTGTTGAAGATGAATTGACCATATAGTTGTGAGCTCATTTCTGGGTTTTCTATTCTGTTCCATTGATCTATGTGTATATTTTTGTGCCAGTACCATACTGTTTTGATTACTACAGCTCTATAATATAACTTAACATCCAGAGTTGTGGTGCCTCCAGCTTTTCTTTTTCAGGATTACTTTGACTATTTGGAGTCTTTTATGCTTCCATAAAAATTTTAGGATTGTTTGTTCTAGTTCTGTGTAAAATGCTGTTGGTATTTTGATAGGGATTGCATTAAATGTGTAGATTACTTAGGGTAGTATAGACATTTTAACAATATTTGTTCTTCCAATCCATGAGCATGGAATGTCTTTCCATTTCTTTTGTCGTCTTCAGTTTCTTTCATCAGTGTTTTATAGTTTTTAGAGTACAAGTCTTTCACCACTTTGGTTAGGTTTATTCCTAGGCATCTTATTATTTTTGGTATAATTTTAAGTGGGATTGATTCCTTAATTTGTCTTTCTGCTGTTTCATTATGGGAAGGTAGAAATGCAAGACATTTTTCTATATTGATTTTGTGTTTTGTGATTTTACTGATTCGTTTATCAGTTCTAGCAGTTTTTTGGTGATCTTTCGGGTTGTTTAATTTTTTTTATGTTTTATTTATTTCTGAGAGAGAGAGAGAGCGTGAACAGGGGAGGGTCAGAGAGAGAGGGAGATATTGAAACAGGCTCCAGGCTCTGAGCTAGCTGTCAGCACCAAGCCCGACGCAGGGATCGAACCCACGAATTGTGAGATCATGACCCGAGCCGAAGTCGGATGCTTAACCGACTGAGACACCTAGGGACCTCAGGTTTTGTATATAAAGTATCATGTCATCTGCAAATAGTAAAAGTTTTACTTTTTGCTGATTTGGATACCTTTTATTTCTTTCCATTTTCTGATTGGTGTGGCTAGGATTTCCAGTACTCTGTTAAATAAAAATGGTGAGAGTGGACATCCCTGTCTTATTCCTAATGTAGAGGAAAAGCTCTCAGTTTCCCCCATTTAGGATGATGTTAGCTGTGGGTTTTTCATATATGGCCTTTATTATATTGAGGTATGTTGCCTCTAAACCTACTTTGTTGAGGGCTTTTATCATGAATGGATGTTGTACTGTGTCAAATTCTTTTTCTGCATCTATTGAAATGATCATACGGTTTTTATCCTTTCTCTTATTAATGTGATGTATCATGTTGACTGACTTGCAAATATTGAACTACTCTTGCAACCCAGGAATAAATTCCACTTGATTGTCATGGATTTTTTTTTTTTAATGTATTGTTGAATTCAGTTTGCTCCTATTTTGTTGAGTACTTTTGCATTTGTGTTCATCAGAGATATTGACCTGTAGTTCTCTCTTTTATTTATTCTATTATTTTATTATCTTTTTTAATGTTTATTTTTGAAAGAACGTGTGAGCCAGGGAGGGGCAGAGAGAGAGGGAGACACAGAATCTGAAGCAGGCTCCAGGCTCTGAGCTGTCAGCACAGAGCCTGCTGCTGGGCTTGAACTCATGAACCATAAGATCATGACCTGAGCTGAAGTTGGATGCTTAACCCACTGAGCCCCCCAGGAACCCCTGGAGTTCTCTCTTTTAGTGTTGCCTTTATCTGGTTTTGGTATCAGGATGATGCTAACCTCATAGAATACATTTGGAAGCTTATCCTTCTGGTTCTATTTTTTGGAATAGTTTGAGCTGTTAAATATTTGGTAGAATTTGCCTATGAAGCCATCTAGTCCTGGAGTTTTGTTTTTTGGGAGTTTTTTGATTACTGATTTAGTTTCTTGGCTGGTTATTGGTCTGTTCAAATTTTCTATTTCTTACTGTTTCAGTTTTGGTAACATATGTTTCTGGGAATTTATCCACTTCTTTTAGATTGTCAAATTTATTGACCTATAGCTTTTCATAATATTCTCTTAAAATTGTACTTTTGTGTGTTGGTTGTTATTTTTCCTCTCTCATTTGTGATTTTATTGATTTGAGTCCTTTCTCTTTTTTTCTTTTTAAGCCTGGCTATAGTTTCATTGATTTGATCTATTGTTTTTTTAGTTTCTATATCATTTATTTCTGTTCTGATCTTTATTATTCATTCCTTCCTTCTGCTGGTTTATTCTTTGTACTTTTCCTAGCTCCTTTAGATGTAAGGTTCGGTTTTTTCTTGCTTCTTGAGGTATGCCTGTATTGCTCTATACTTCCACCTTAGAGCCGCTTTTGCTACATCCCAAAGGTTTTGGACCGTTGTGTTTTCATTTCATTTGTTTCCGTGTACTTTTTTATTCCTTCTTTTATGGCCTGGTTGACCCATTCATTGTTTATGTAAGTTCCAGGCATTTGTGGTCTTTCCAGATTTTTCTTGGTGGTTGACTTCTAGTTTCATAGTGTTATGGTCAGAAAAGGTATATAGAAGACTTCAGTCTTCATGAATTGGTTGAGGCCTGTTTCGTGCCCTAATATGTGATCTGTTTTGGAGAATGGTCTGTGTGTACTTGAAAAGAATGTGTATTCTACTGTTTAGGATGGAATATTCTGAATGTATCTGTTAAATCCATCTGTTCTTGTCTGTCATTCAAAGTCGTTTCCTTTTGATTTTCTGTTTATATAATCTACCCATTTATGTAAAATCCTTTAATATTATTATAGTATTACTGCTGAGTTCCTTTATGTTTGTTTTTATTTTATGTATTTGGGTGCTAACATGTTGGGTGCTAACATGTTGGGTGCATAAATAGTTCAATTGTTATATCTTCTTTTAGATTGTCCTCTTTATTATTATATAGTGTCCTTCTTTGTCTCTTGTTACAGTCTTTGTTTTAAAGTATAGTTTATCTGATACAAATATTGCTACTCTGGCTTTCTTTTGACATTGTTTACATGATAGATATTCCTTCATCACCTCACTTTCAATTTTCAGGTGGCTTTAGGTCTAAAATGAGTCTCTTGTAAGCAGCATATCGATGGATCTTGGTGTTTTTTTTTTTTTTTAATCCATTCTGAATCCCTGTCTTTTGATTGGAGTGTTTAGTCTATTTACATAAAAGTAATTCTTGATAAATATGTACTTACTGCCCTTTTATTACTTGTTTTGTGCTTGTTTCTGAAGATTTTCTCTGTTCCTTTCATATCTTTCTCTCTTTCATGGCTTGCTGATTTTCTTTAGTGATGTATTGGGATCTCCATCTCTTACTCCTTTTAATTAGGTTTGTATATAACCTCTTCTGCATATAGCAGTCTAATTAAGTTGTTAATCATTTGGGTTTGAATCCATTCTTTACTTCTGCCCTTTACACGTTTTAAGTATATGGTTTACATTTTACATGCTTTTATTTTGTGAGTTCTTTGACTAGTTTTCTATAGAAGTATTCA